TTGCCACTCCAATAATTAGAACCTCTTCTGAATTGACAATCTTGATCGTCCCCTTCGATGGCTCAACTTTCAAACTAAGACTGTCGGTAGCCTTCTTCGATATGAATAGATCGGCTTCTCCTGTCTACTAAGGAAACTCTCGATTGTCCCGCAATGTTGATGATCATATACATCAAACCATTCTGATTTCGGCCTCCACTTGCCTTGGCAGAACTCAAAATTATCGTGCCAAGTCTCGCATCCTCTTTGACCCTGTCTTCACCCATGTCCTTATGTAACTCGATCCTGGGCTTGTCCATCTTCTCGGACCACTCAAACTTTATCCAGGAAAGCTTGCAACTCCCATTACTTTGGTGACTCTCTGTTTGCTCATTTCTTGCCATCAGCTTAAGGTGCTTGCCACCTTTACTTGTGCCAATTTCACACATGTCTTCTCCAGACTTGTGATCACTACTCAAATGTTCACCATTTGAACAAACTTGACTTGAACAAGTATCACTAGAAGAGTATTGCTCCTCAACATTGGATCGAACCTCATTTCGGATTCTTTTACCACTACCCATGGCTTTCAACTTCGACTTGGATGTCTTCTAGACTCCAAATTCTATTATGGACTCACCAGCCATCAAGGCTTTATAAAACTCCTTGATTCCCCTTTTCTTCATCCCCATCTTTACCAATGGCTTCAATCTACCTGTGAATGTGAATAATGCATCTTCTTCAGTCAAGTTTGAGACGTTGTGCATGAGCTCCTTGAACTGACTCGCATACTCCTTCAATGTTCCATCATTTCTAACTCATCAACTTATACTATACCTCACTCTCGGCATGCACTGAGCTCAACTGATCTTCAAATGATTTAGGCTCTTTTGGCCCTTCGCCAACTCTAGCTTCCACAACAATGAAAACCCCCTCGGTATCTTTGACAAGATCCTTGGCAACATTGGGTTTGGGCAACTCGTCCTACTTTTAGCTTTGATAAGCCTTGGAAGAAATAAACATCATTGAACCAAGCTTGGCATGCTCACTACTCTCGGCCTTGTCCCTTCCCTTGGACTGCTTCATTTGATTTGGGCATTCACATACCATGTGTAGACCTCTGCACCGAAAACACTCTAGTCTATCATACTTATTTACTCTCGACTTTTTTGCTTGGTTTTTGGGCTTTGTGGTCCTTGACACAGGAAACACTTCAGTGGATCTCTTTTATTTACCCTCAGCTTTCCTGTGCCACTCGTCTTCGTGTCGAGCTCCACTCTTGGCTTTACTAGTTCGACACCCACAATCACGCTATCTTTAGCTACTTCCCCTTCTGACTTATCTTCTCCTTTGACAATGGCAGCAAGGCGATTCTTCTCAAGACATCTTCCTATCAAGTGAGGACCGTCACAAAAGTAGCATTTAAGTGGCTTGCTACTCTCCTTCCTTCTTCTTTGACACAAACATGGCCTTGCCATGATTCCCCGAAGGCATTATTCCACCATGAACAATCGATGTCACTTCTTGGCCACCCGAAGAGCTTTCTTTGCCTTTTGTCAACTGTCCCATGTCATAGTCTCCACCATTTTCACCACTATCTTTAGGTATGGCCCTGGACGACTCATTTTTGGTTGGCTTGACTCCTGTAAACTCACACCTTGACTCGGTTACAACTCTGGCTTCCAAACAACTCTGAGCATCCCTTTGCTCACTAGAAGGTGTCACTCCTAATCTAAGCCCTTCGATGAAGGTCTTGAGCACACCACCACCACCCATTGTTTATTACACATGAGTAGCTCACTCTTGAGCCCATCCATCTCTTCCATCAGGGCAATCACCTTGATCCTGAACACATTACTCATCTCTATCCTGAGTATATTGCTCATCTCTATCAACGTCCAATCATTGAGAATCCGTTGTACCACATCTTTGAACCCTTTCCTCATAGACTCAAACTATTGAAGACGAGATTCCACAACTTCCTCAACCATTTTGGCTTCCTCAGTGAAGCTTTCAAGGTTCTTGATCCTCATCTCCAATGATCCTGGGTAACTCCCATACATTGTTTCCCTAGTTCGACCCCACCACCGTGGCTCTCCACGCTATTCTTAGTGGGAAGAACTCCTTTTTATTGTGCCATCTCGATCACTTTCCACAAAACTTGTCTGAAATACTCGTTGAATCCACAACGAAATACTTCAACTCAATATGATACTTCTTATAACAAAACAAGCATGGATCACTATTGAATCCATAACACCTATAATTCGACTTGCTCTGATGCCACTTTTCACAGGGCTAGACTTTTGATAGTCGATTTGTGCGGCACTTAAACTATTTCCAAGTCGAAATGATGCCTAAGTCAACCTTAACTTCATCCTTGTGAGTCTTTGGCTCACTAAGTGATGAATAAACCTGATAGGGTTAAGCAACAATACGAAAGAAAAACACCATTGGGCCTAATCCAAACCAGCAAGATTGAACGATCTCAGAAGCACGAGCATTGTGGGGACTTATTAAGCCACCACCACTTAAACCACTTTGAAACTTTGAAAGAACTCAGAAATGAACCACTCTCAAGGTTATACTATCCCTCAAGTACGGTAACACAAGCCACAAAGGCTTCAGCACGAAGAATAGCAAGCCGACAAGGCTAGAAAACTAGAAACAAAGGAACTCGTAGAGAAAGTAAGAGTAAATGCCTAAGTTTATTACTCTGAATGAATGAAATTGATGAAATGATTACAAATGAGGGGTGAAACCCTCTATTTATAGTTGAGGCCCTTAAAATCTGATGGTCTAGATCAAAATACATTGACAGCTTAAATTGAATTCTACCTTATCAAGAATTATATCTCTAAGGCATTTGAATTCAAATACAACATTATCCCCAATTAGGTATTTATCCCCTTAATTATTAGATAGTATTATCCTTTTTAAAACCTTCTAAGGAATGGGCCTAGGTCTGATGGTTTTGGGCATGCCCAACACTCTATGCGATTTTCTTACAGAAATATGTGCACACATGACTCGATCTAAGTACATGAGCCTTGAAAAAATGCCCTCATCAAACATCTAACACCCTCATCGCTTCTCTCAAATGCCCCAAACTTGATCCTTAACTGAATTGTAAGCATTCTCCAAGAACAGGGCCAACTCATTATGCCCAAGAAGTTTAAGTCTACGCACATAGAATCCCTCTCGTGAACATTTACGCCAATATCCATGGACCTAAAAGTTTAGTCTGTGACATTCTTAACACATGAGTGAATGAAAGTAGTGACAGGATGACTCTACCTAACTAAATCATGGATGAAAGGTATGCTCCCATCTATCTAGAGTGTGGGATGGTATTTGTGATAGGTTGTCTCCCCTTATGCAATGAAAAAAATTAAAAATTAAAAATTAAAAAGTTTAAATGTTAAATAAATAGGAGTAATTTATTAATGAATAATTTTATGCCTTGGCAAAACAAAAGAATTTACTTAAGAACTTTCTAATTTCGGTAAGCATAGACTATATACAATCACACACGCTTGCAAATGATCTTGGCCTAGGGAAAGGTACTTGACTTCTCAATGACTCTAGCAAGTTGAAGCCAAACTTTTTTCCAAGGGCTAAAATTTTAAACCACTTGAATGTCCTAATTATAACTTTTTCATAGCATTTTATTTTATGTTGTTCATTATCCATTGCTTGAGGACAAGAAATAGCTTAAGTTTGGGGTGTGATAACTCGTAAAAAATTATATTTTAGGTTTTTTTACTTAAGTTATTGTTTGTATGAAAGTCGTTGTCATCACATTTTAGTTACATTTAGGACATTTTATGCATATGATGGAAAAGTTTTGCCTCGATTGGCTTTTCTTTATAAAATTGATGTTGCTGATGAGAAGGGTTGTGTGTTGGCTGTGATGATACAGGTGATAGAAAATGACCGAGGAGGAAATTATTTGTTGAGACAAATTTTGTGCAAGTGACAAAGGAACTGAAGATGATGACCGTGAGGAATTTTTTGCCATGGTAAATTTTATCTTGCAAATTAGATGCAGTACGAGACAAAATTATTGACGTCGCATGGCCAACTGTCTAATGTACCTCACTTGAACCTCTACTTCTGCATAGGATTTGGGACCACTTCCAGCTACCATATAATTCACGAAATGGGCATGAATTCAAGGGTAGTTGGGGAAATTTCAAGGGCACTAAACCCTAGAAATTCCCCCACTATAAATAGCACATTACGCCCACCATTTAGAAGATCCCACTCTCATCTACCCTAAAAAGCTTTGGAAAATGCGACTGTAGCACTAACTTCTCCATCGTTCCTCTCGCTTTTCTTGGTGTCCTTTATAGTCGGGCTTTATCAGAGTAGCGGTTAGGCCCTCAAGAGAGGCTAGCATGATGGAGCAGTCATAGGTAGTGATGGTCTCATGTCATAGCAACAACTCTATTTTTTAGAGTTTTCTTTTTCTTGTTCTTTATTTCTTATCTTTTAAGGGCTTGTACTTAACGAATATTTTGGGACTATTTTAGCCACGCCATGAACTGTTTTATTTGGTACTAGAGATGTTAGGATGATACTTTATTTTATGTTTAATGGATGATTAAGTATATTTATTTTATTATTGTTTTGTTCACTGTTTTAATCTTATGTCTTAGTACTATAAGAACTTTTGAGAGATTGTATGGTGCCTTGGCATAATATTCATAGTCTTTATAAGAGTTGTTGAGAGATAGTCATTTTTCTAGGAGTTGATACCTAATATCGAGAGATAGGTTAGATCTATATGAACAAGGGAACTAATCTAGGATAGTGAGGTTCTAATATGCCTTAGAGATAAGAAGAGGTTTTCAAGCAACTAAAAGGGATAGTACTCAATCGATAGGATAGTGTCACTATTTACGCTGAGAGGTATTGTCGTGGCAATAGTTGTATCAGGTTCCTTACTAGAGATAGCCTATGAACACTTTTAGTAAATCATGTCGGGCAACATAGACATATTGTACTTAGATCATCCTAGGCATAGAATAATTTCTTGTCGTAGCAAATCCAATCTAAGTACTCCGTTAGAAGTCTGATTGTATGAGGTTGTTCGTCTATATTCAGAATTTGAACATTTTTAGCCTTAGCAACTTTTATTTACTTACTCTTGCAATTAATTTTTGCCTTAGCGATTTTTATTTGTTTACTCTTGCATATTTTTCTTGCCACGAAAAAAATTATCTGCTCACTTCACACAATTCTTGCCTCAATAAACTTTTTCAATATGTTCATACCATCTACCATAGCTCTTTACTCATTTGTTTATATCATTTGATTTAGGCATTTAGGATTAGTTAGTGACACTTATTCCTAGTTGTATCAATCTTTAAAGAATTCCTCAATCCCTATGGAGATGGTACTCACTCACTATTGTATTACTTGCATCGATTGTGTATACTTACACAGATTTATGTGCCTTATCACATATATTTATATGCTATCAACCATCTTGGAAAACTGCTATCAGTAGTATATGCTTATATTGCTTGTGCAACCACATACCATCTACTTGGACCATACGTTTGAAAATTGGAAATCCTCATATGCATAGCTTGAATGCCCAAAAGAGTCTATGGAATATTCTTTTTCCTTGAATAAGTTGACCTTCTAGGTTGTATACAGACATGGTTTCAGATTTCACTATGTTTCCCTAGATAAATCATCTCATAGCTTGTAACAAATCAGATAGCTCATTGTATGATGTATCTCAATCACCATATATTAACCTCCTTGCATTCTCCTTCGCATACCAAACCAGTTTATATTTTACATTGTATCCGAACTGGTCTCGAATAGATGTAACTAACACTAAACAAGGTATCATTGGTTTTATTCAACCAACACCTTCACATATTGGCATATTACATCGGAATCTATTAGCAAGTGGTATTGTTCAATGGAGTTTCGTAAACATGTGTGAAGACCATTGTACCTTGTGATGACCTACGCATCTTGCCTCGGCATTTCAGACACTCTGATCAGTCACTTACACTCAGGGATATATTTAACACACTTCACATATAAAGTTTTCTGGTTGGACTCTGGAACCTTGTAATCTACATGGTCTTTTATGCAATATTCTTTAATCACCAATGTAGCATCTTTTTTTCCTCTAAATTGCTTTCCAACAGATAACTCACCTGAGTTTTCAGATGATTCAGTTACGTAGCCTGAAGTTAAAATGTGGCATCTCTGGGAATTCAGGTGCCCTCATTGCATCATAATCTATCTTGTACATAAAAGGGGTTGGTTGGTACGATGTCGGATATTCATCATTCACCAAATCAGCTTGACCACCATCAAAAATAATGTCATCATTAACCAAATCAGGTTCCTTAGTTTCTTCATATTCGTTGGAATCATCATGTGTTTCTCCCCAGCGATTTTCTGCATCAACATCAATAGTCATTTTGGATGATGTATGCTTCTTGCCCCATACTCTGCTTCTGTCGATGTCCAACTGACTTCATTTGCACTTTCCAACATCGCCATAAATTTATTTATCGACCTATATGTAGGGTCGTCAAACTCACTTCCAAAAGTCATTTGAGATGAATTTCCAACCACTTTTTTTAATGACTCAGGAACATCAAATATCTTATGCACCTAAACAAATAACTCAGTAATTGAAATATTTGTTGAGTCATGTACTTCAATCATAGTTCTGATATCATCATCCTCTTCAAGTGGTACTACAACATACATGACTGGATTGGACATATCATAAACTTGTACCTCATCCCATCAATTGTAGTTTTATTTTTCTTTCTATCATCTCCTTCATTTCTATAAATGTGATGTCACTTTTAAACATCATATTTATAGGTCTTTTAGACTGAAAAACAACACTGACCTCATTTTCCATAATTTGTCAATTATAATGGACAGTCATGAATAATTTATTGCTCATTTTTCTCTACGTATGAAAAATATATAATTTAGAAAAAAAATATTCTAACAATATTTTGCTATTATTTAAATAATCATCAAAATTTTCTAGCGAATTTTCAATAATTAATAAGGTAAAATGATCTGATTGTTTTATCATTTTAATCGAAATACTAAATCAATACTATTAAAAATTTATGGTAATGATCCACAAGTCAAATAAAAACTAAAAATATAACAAAATTGATATACGCATAATAATAAATAATAATACTTCAAATAAAATCTATTTATACTTACTTGAGAACTTCTTCCTGAACTTGATTTACAAAAAAATATCTGTAAATTAACTCAATAATATCATTTAACAGAACAATACGAGGTAAAATATTAAACATTAATATAAATTATTCGAATACTTACTTAAGAAAATGAAAGAAAATTTCGTTAAATTTTTTCTCAAATGCACCACCGAATGCTCCTTCAAATTGCATGCTTCCTCTTTTAGTCTCATTATTTTTTCTTCAAGTAGATATCCATACTAGTATGATTTTACTATTTCACTCTTCACTATTTTTTGTTCAATCTAACATCCCAACTCGTTTATATATACAACTAAAATTATTTTTTTATACAAAATTGATTTTATTTTACACACATAAGAGCATGGGTGTCAGAATCTCGGAGAGCTGCATTAAAACAATTGTGTTACTGCACGGGCAAGACAATGATGTAGCTTTGCGGGGCATGGGAAATGTGTTGAAGACGCATGGAGATCTTAATACCTTTAATAAGATGTATGGATTACACGACGCCTTCACCTCCCACTGTAGCATACGCCATTTCCTAAGAAATAATTTAATGGGTGCATTATTTGGGGAATTAAAAATTTGGGACACATTGTCTTTTTTTTTTAGTTTAGCCTAAAGCATTTTTTTTCACTTCTAAATAAGTCAAAATAAAGGTTGTTTTGTGAAAGAGGTCTAGCACAATATCGGTCCCCAATTATCTTAAAACCCCATTCGCTGCTTCCCCATGAATCACCGATACAGATACAAAGGAAACAAACGAAACCCAATTTAAGAATAAAGAGAATCTCTTTTTCCCCGGTCCCGTTTGAGAGAATAAGAAAAAGGCGGTTTGTGTTTTAGGGTTTCTTTTAGATGGACGAGAATTTGCTTGATAACATCATAAGGAGGCTGTTGGGGACAAAGAATGGGAGGACTACCAAGCAAGTACAGTTGACGGAGGCTGAGATAAAGCAGCTTTGTGTTGCCTCCAAAGAGTGCTTTCTTAGCCAGCCTAATCTTCTAGAGCTTGAGGCTCCTATCAAGATTTGTGGTAATAATTAGTATTAATTTGAAGTTTTTCTATTTATTGTTATGTAAACGTGGTTAATGGTTGTTAATCTGTTAATCTTGATTATCTTCGATGTAAGAATTTGCTAATTTTATATCCACGTTCCGAGCTTCTCATTGTAATTGTGTTATTGAGGTGAAATGGTGAATTATGGAAGATTCTATTGACTTGATGTAAATGTAATGAAGACATGTAAAGGAAGTAATCAGTCAGATTGTAAAGAGCAGTAAATGTAGACTAAAGGGCTTTGGACTTAGATTGTTAATTGAATTGTTATTGGCATTTGGTAATGCATTATTGGGAGATAACAACCCAAAGATACTTTATCTATTCGCCGCCAGGCAAGTCTTTGTGGTCCGAGAAGATTATGCTAGTTCTTTATTTGGTTTCCCCAGCTTTTCAAATGTGAGTTTTGCAATTATTTTCATTAATTTTTTGCCTATAATGTAGTCTCATATTTTAGTAATACAACTCTAGGTTGTTGCTTGGGAAGCAATAAGATCATTAATGGGTGAGTTTTGTGTAAAGATATATAAATTGCGCATGTCACCCGGACTCAACTATTATAGCTAGTTGGATGTGACATGCGTCATTCCTATGGCATATGGAGATGATACTTTAGGCTGTCAAAGTTTTGGATGTGTTAATTACTAATTAGTGTCTTAGGATCCTGATTTTTGTTATTGCACTTTGATATGTGTAATCTGGTGGAAATAGGACAACTTTTCTTTAACAAGGGTCTCAGTTTGGAAAATTGTGGACATTATGTGCGATCGGGAAGTTAAAGAAATTATATTGCTCTCTGTGGTGGAAGATAATAAAAGCATTTGTTGAAAGTCTTGTTTTTGTTCTCATATCAAGGAGAAGTTAGAACTTCATATTATGAGAAGAAACGTTTTTGACGAGACCGATGGTCTTCGTATGAAGATTCTAAATTGTCAGCATTATGTTAACCCTTAGATGGAGGGCATGGAGCTTGAAATGCTTTGTCTTGTTGAATTTGAAGTAAGACTTTAAAGCTGCACTATTCTGTTTGTTTATTTGTTCCTTTCCTTAAAGCTGAACTTTGCCCCTTATTTAATGTTCCTTTTTTTTTTTGCATGTGTGTTGGGGTTGATGTCTAGTAAGTTGTCATTAGTACAGCATATGTCAAAAGGGTTCATTAGAGTTAAGAGTTAGAGTTTATCTGAAGCTGTTGAGCTCTGTAATATTTATATTTTATTTTTTGGTGTGTATAAGATCGAAGTCTCAATAATTTTAAGGCCTTTTAATTTGGTTCGTAAGGTATGTTTGGTAATTTGTTACCTCCAAGAGGCTTGGACTTCTACTCGATCTTCATCGAACAGGCTTGGTGTGCATGCTTTGATTTGCATATATGTAATTTGATTCCTGTTTGTTTAGCAAGTTTTAACAAATTGGGGTTGTAATAATCTTCATTAGCTTTCATACTATTTTGGCAGGAGATGTTCACGGTCAATTTTCTGATCTTCTACGATTGTTTGAGTATGGAGGATACCCTCCTACTGCAAACTATTTATTCCTAGGTGACTATGTTGATCGTGGCAAGCAGAGCATTGAGACAATTTGCCTTCTCCTCGCATACAAAATCAAATACAAGGAGAATTTTTTTCTCCTTAGAGGCAACCATGAATGTGCATCAATTAACCGTATATATGGTTTCTATGATGAGTGCAAAAGAAGGTTTAATGTTCGTGTCTGGAAGTTGTTTACTGATTGCTTTAACTGCCTTCCAGTTGCTGCACTAATTGATGAGAAGATACTTTGCATGCATGGTGGTTTATCACCTGAGTTGAAAAAATTGGATCAGATCCGGAAGATTTCTCGCCCTGTTGATGTGCCAGATCAGGGCCTTCTCTGTGATATTCTTTGGGCTGATCCTGATAAAGATCTTGATGGCTGGGGAGAGAATGATAGGGGTGTTTCATTTACTTTTGGTGCTGATATAGTTTCTGAATTCCTTCAAAAACATGACCTTGATCTCATTTGTCGAGCTCACCAGGTATTTCTAAATTGGCTTACAGCATAGGTGTATGGAAGCTTTCACTTCTTTTGTCTTTCTAAATTTTCATCAATTGATGACATAGAGGAAATTGTGGGAAGCATGTGAAAAATGAAGAGTGCAGTACATCAGTACTCTATAGATAATATCTTTGCATGTCAGCAGATGCACTTATGCCCACGTTCCTTGAACCTTCGTGTTACTGGCAGAATAATAACATGGGCAGACTTGACTAAATTCTAGTAATAAAGATATCTGCAACCATGTATTCATAGTGACTTGTAAATTTTTCTTTTTAATGCTTTGTTTAGGTTGTAGAAGATGGTTACGAGTTCTTTGCAAAGCGACAGTTAGTAACCATATTCTCTGCTCCAAACTACTGCGGGGAATTTGATAATGCAGGTGCCATGATGAGTGTGGATGATAGTTTAACGTGTTCATTTCAGATTCTTAAATCTTTAGAGAAGAAAGGGAAGGGTGGATTTGTTGGCAACAACGCATTCCGACCAGGAACACCACCTCACAAGGTAAGAAACCTTGGTTACAATGAAGCGCTAAGTTGAGTCAGTGGAGGATGTGTATAACTGTGACTTTTTTTTTTTTGAAAGAGTAACTGTGACCTGTCATTTCTGCACAATGGATCAATTATTACCGATTGACCCTGTGACCTATGTTGGAATATGCCACTGATAAAAAGAGATTTAATGCTATCAAAATCTTCAATTCAACTTCACATGCATTTGTATAGGTTTCTGAACATCCTCTTCCCTGGTTTCAGCTTTTGTTTATTGGTGATGGGAAGTGCAGTTTTAATTAGATTATCGATTTGAGATCTTTCCTTCGTCCCTGTTTGATTCATTGTAAATGGCTTTCAGTTGATGATTGCAAGTGCTTCTTTCCTGGAGATTGTTGTTTAATTTTTGTGTTGCAAAACAAGTTCTCCCCATTTATGTTCTCTGTTTCAGGGTGGGAAGGGTGGGAAGAAGGCAGGGAAGCGATGATTGAAACCGCAGAGTTGGCATTCATGAAGTCCGAAGTGTGTGTTCTTTCTCGCATCTATCTACTTGCTGTTCCATTGCTCGAATTCTGATGTCTGGCATGGATACGGATTGATGATTGTTGGATGCTGCAAGGGAGAAAACTGGGATGGTAAAGTTGGTGGAATTAAATAGGAGAAGAGCTAAGGAGCCCAGATACCAACTGGAACTCAATTAAGTTTTTCTTTTCATGTGTAAAACTGGAATTGTGATTTCAGCATGTTTAGTTGTTAATTCTTGTAGGTAACATAATTTCATTTCATGTCCAAACTTTTTTCAGCTTCTATTGTGGTTAAGAGTAGTTCTTCCCTTCCAAATAGTACAAAACAAAGGCAGGTGTACATATGTCACCTCATATTTAGAGGGAAAATGGCATGATAACCCCTTTTTTTAAAGAAAAATAATCATTTTAAATCTTTTAACAGAATTATTTATGATTAAATGAGTCGAGGGGTTATTAACTTTTTATAGGATTTGACCAAATTTATAATCTATTAAATTTGAAGTTTTCTAAAATTGCAAAAGGGAGAAATATTGTTTTTCCCCAATAAGAAATATTACTTTTAAAATATCTTAAATTTTTAGGGTATAATGGGATGGTTTGATACAATGAAATGTGATTATTTTATTTAAAAGTTTCATGGATTTTTATGTTGCAAAAAATTCTTAATTTTATTAAGATATAACATTTTATTGGGAGTAATTTTCCCTCTAATAATGAAAGATGACCTCATCATAATAGGTGGGAATTTTTTTTCATATTAGGTGGAAAGTAAAATGTTGCTAATAAAAAAACAAGTACTTTGAATAACGGTATTAACTATTTGCATGTCTAATGTATTTATTCTTTTGAAGTCTATCTTTTTAATATTCGAGAAAAATCTTGATTTATTATAATCTAAATAAGTAAAAGCTTATTTTAAATGAATAAAATTACGGGAGAACCCTATTTGAAGTATTGAATGGTTAAAATATAGTTTTGATGATTTTGATATATACTTTTTAAGATATCATTCTATCCAAAATTATAGTGTTTTTTCTTTAAACTTTGAATAAAGCTTTTATATATTGAAAAATGAGCTCAGAATTTTTTTTAAGTGTCTTTGGTTTGAAATCTGTTAAAATTGAATTAAGTGGTCTTTTAGTATCAATACTTTTTCTATAATAAATACCATAGGAACAATATCATATTAACTTAAATTGTTTTAAAAAAAACTATATAAATAATCATTAAACTTTTAAGATGTTTACATTTTGGTCATCTAATTTTTAAAACTTACAATAAATTACTAAACTTTTAGTTTATTTTTCGTAAGGTGTCTAACTTTATCTCCAGTTAGTTTCATCTAAATGACATGTTAGTGTTATTTTTTAGCTTAATTAAATAATTCTTTTAACACATTTCAGCACCATGGTGCACTTCCCCCCAAAATTAACTGAAAACCCTAAAACAACGAAGAAGCCATTTGAATCAACCCATCAAAGGTCTCAAACATCTTGTCAGCTTCAACCAAGTGAAGGGCATCTTTATTTTGCTCATGGTTGTGAAACAACACTATGGTCTTTTCCGCTGTTGTAGTAGGACGGGAAAATGTTCCACAGGGACATCTTCAGGAGGTTGTTTCACTTAAAATCTCTTTAAGTTTGATTTTTTTTCCCGTTTTCGACGGTTTTGATGACGAACTTAGCTGCTTCCACCTCCCCAATTGAAGGCCTCGGTGGGAGGGATCTGTAAATTCTCATGATTTCTTGTATTGTTTTTAAAAAAGTAGGCGAGGGATCTAGCTTTGACATCACCGCCATGGCCACGGTGCTGTTTTTAGTTTTGGACGAGAGAAAAAGGAAGACGATTGTTTTAGGAAGGTTTAAGTGTAGGCAAAGAGCTCTTGTTCGTAATGTGGTTTTCGATCAATTTTGGAGAAATTTTTAGGATAAAAGAATTATTTTATTAAACTAATGGTAGGTAATAAAAGAAATTTATTATCAACAAACTAAAAGTTCGATTATTGTATTATAAGTTTTAAAAATTGGATGATCAAAATACAAATGTACTAAAATTTTAGTGACCATTTATATAATTTACCATATTTAAAACAAATATGAAGCAAACGGTAATCTCACAAGAATATTGATACTCAATTTTATAAAATAAACTTTGATATCGTTAGCAGAGTATCGATATTCCATTTATTTCATCAAATTTCAAGTATTAAATTAATATTAATACTTAATCCAAGTAATTGATATTGGCCAACAAAGTATTGATATTCCATTAAAAGTATCGATACTAAAAATTATATAACGGTTATAATTTTATATTAGTGTAGGAGAATCAATACTCCACCTAGAGTATTGATATTAGAGGCGTTTGGGTGTCATTTATTACGTAAAAATTGCTTTCTAATGATTATAATCATTTTTACATCAACTCAAACAGCTATAATTAAACGAATGATATATATAAACAAGATCTTGTGACCTGTTTGAAGACGAAAAATCATAAAAAGCTTATGCAATCGTCTTTAAATTAGAAAGTCATTTGTAATCAATTCTTATTTGCTTTCAAATGAATACTAACTTGTGTATTCATTGTAATTCTCACTATTAATATTCTAGAGTGTTTTAGTGCTTAAGTTGTGCAAATACTTTCCGTAAGGAATCTCATTATTTATTAATGATAATTTTTTATTTGTGAGAGTTAATTTAAGATTTTTAGGTATAAATCTTATGAAAATTGTAAGGTTACGTTTTATCATCAAAGGTTGAACAAATTAGTGATTTTGTAAAAAATCCTAGTACAAATAACTGATTAATGAATTTAAACTTCATGGAGGAAGTTGAACTAATATAAATCATTGTGTCTATTTTAATTTTTTTTCTCAAAGCTTTCACAAATTTTTATTTTTTAATTCACCCGTTCTTGACTATTTTCATCAGAGTTTAACTCATTAAAAGATATAACAACCTCTTGAAAAAGATCTAAAGAGAGTTCAATCATCTTCTAGTTCAACCTCTTGGCTATTTTCATCCCATAGTTAATGAATTAACGATGATGATTAGGGATGGCAAACGGGTACAGTTTCGTGGATTCCGCACCGCATCCGCTCCAATTGGAGCGGGGATGGGCATAATTTTAGCGGGTAGTGGGCGGGTGTGGATTTATAAAGTGGTACCCGTCGTGGGTCGTGGGCGGGTAATGGGTTTGAGACATTACCCGCCCCGCATCCGCCCTACATCCGCCCTCCCCACATCCGCCCACCCAGCTAAATATCTATTAACTTTTGGACCATTATAAATTTAGGTGTAATTTTAGAGACTAATTTATAAATTTTAATATTGTATAATTTATAACATATAATTTATCCAAATATTAAGGATATTTAGTAGGGAAATATTCGGCTCTTTGATTAAACCCATAATCCCACTAACCACATCACTTTCCATGTTCTTTAGCTCATTCTGCCCATCCAAACACAAATTAGCCGTACTATAAGCATTAACATCAAAAGCAGCAGTTTCCATGTTCTTTAGCCCCTCAAAACCCATATTAGGTGCACTATGAGCATTAACATCGAAAGCAACACAACAATCCAGCTCTACGACTACATGCTCCCTACAATCTCTCTCCATAACATTCGTAGAGCTACTCCTCTGACAAATTGAAGCATGCGCTGCTACCCCATCACGAACTGTCTAGGAACCAACTCCAACATCCCATTAGTTTGCTATCAGGCGGGTCTAGATGGGTATGTCGCTAGTGGGTAGTGGGTGTGGGGATGGATTTGAAAATGTACCCGCGTGGGCGGGTGTGGATTTGAAAATTTGTACCCATCATGGGTGGTGGACGGGTGGTGGATTGAAAAATATTAGGTGGGTATGGGGATGGGGGAGGGGGTATCCGTACCCGACCCGCCCGTTTGCCATCCCTAATGATGATGTATCATCATAATATAATCTTGCATCATTATTATAAAAAAATAAATAATATCGCATTAGCAATTCTATTTTATTTTTAACGGTCAGTGATCAAAACGAAATCAAAACCTAATGCTAAATATGATTTTGAAAAAATAGTTCGGTGACTAAAATATAACCAAGAAAAAAGATGGGTGATTAAACATGTAATTTTGGATATTTCTTCTCATCTAGCAATTTAACTAAATGTGAAGATTTTGATAATTACCATTTGCTTATTTTGGAAAGCTCTCTCCTTTTACGTTTACTGGAAAATTATTGAAGTAGCAGTGACCATTAGAGGGAGGGAGTCTTGTTTGAGGTCTGTTGTTTCACTTGAAATCTTTCACACCCATCACAAATAAAATAGCAAAAATGAATCTATGGGTCCAAAATTTATCATCAAATTTCTAACAAAAACATATCCTTCAACGCTTTTGAAGGCAGAGCTAGAAACGCCATGAAGTGCCGATATGTGGCGTGTATTTGGTCAGGCACGCCTCCGTTCCACCGCTTCACAGCCACCGCCCCCCTCGAACACCCTCCGACTCTCTACACCGGCGTATCCGATGGTTCTATCCTGTGGTGGAACCTTCCAACACAGATTCCCACTCTTTAACCAACTAACTTCACTCGATTCAAATTAGGGAATTAATTTAACTACAAGAGTCCGACTCTCTTTCATCATCATTATTATTAAGAAGCTAGCTTATTATATTTGTATTATGCAATTGAAGGACCAGAGAGCTTGTATTTGTTTCCTTTTTCCTTTGGTTTTTGATATTATGTTTAAAATTTCTATGTAGTAAATCTGGGTTTTGTTAGGGTATAGTTCAGATCGTTGATTTTTGTGAATGACTGTTGGAAATTGTCATATTCAGGGAATTAAACCGATTGCTATGTTGTGTGGTCATGCTGCACCAATAGCTGATCTCGCCATTTGCTGTCCCATTGTAGTATCTGGAGAAAAAAATACAGTAAATTCAAGTAATGTTGCTTTGAACTCTTGCTTTGATCATGGTGGTGCATTTCTGAGTGCTTGCACTGACAGTATGTTGTTCATCTGGAGCAGAAGTAGTGGCCTCTGCAGGCGTAGATGAAAACTGCCACCTTGGGTTGGCAGCCCATCGATTATTTGTACATTGCCTTGGAATCCAAGATATGCTTGTGTAGGCTGTTGCTTTATTGAGGCTGCCCGCTTATCTGACCATCATTTGATGGAGTGTGCTGAAGGGGGTGAGATTTCAATGGATAAAGAATCTCAGAGCAGGAAGCCTCCTAAGTGTACTGTTGCTATTTTTGATACGTATACTCATACCATTGTACAAACTGTTTTTCATGGGAATTTGTCAAATGGGCCTTTGAAGTTTATGGACAATGTTTCTTCAGTTGATGATGGAGAAAATCATTTTTCACTCATGGCTGACTCCTTTGGTAAGCTACAATTGGTTCCCTTGCCAAAGGACTTTCATCAAGATAGTGGTGAGGGTGAGATTAGGTTGCAGAGATCTTCTAAGCAGGAAATAATGACATTGGAAGATGGCTTTGTTGAGGCTGGACAAGTTGTGTCAATTGCAACCTGTAGGACCATTGTTGCTACTGTGATCAAAGATCGATCTATATTGAGGCTGTTGGGAAGTGGCATTATAATAGGATTGATTCTTTTTATGAACAATGTCCTTTGTATTGAAGACAAGCATGGTCAGGCACATGTTATAGGGGCTATGTTTCTCAAAAGTAAAAATTATGGGCAGGCACAAAGTACTGGTGAAACCCATGAATCTGAAATTTTTTTAGTGTGTAATAATAAAGGATCTGCACTTTGTATGAAATATCATATTTAGATAACACATTTAATTCTGAACCTCTTTAATAATCTCTACCACTTCTGTTCCCCTAGCTGCAAGGTTGTCATTTTCTTTTGTCCAGCTGAGCCAAATACTTCTTCGCATTGAATCAGTTTGCTTCACTGTTGAAGACCAATTTCAGTGGAAACTGCGTGTTACGATCTGGTCACTTAAATGGAAACATGATCATGCAAAACTCTTTCATGAATGGAAAATGCTTGGAGAAGGCATTTCTTTCCTTGGCTTGACTTCGGCTGCTAGTTTGGATCATAAAAATGAGTCTTTGGGTGGATGCAATACCAGATGAACTTCTATTCAGAGTTTTGTTTCCAGCTCTGAAACTGCAAATAGCATACATGTCGATGATAGTTGTTATTTTGTCCCTAAGGAACAAATTGTATCTTCTTCCATGGTTATTTCTGAAAATCTTTATGCTCATTCTGCCATTGTATATGGCTTCTTTAGTGGTGAAATCCAAGTTGTGTGGTTTAATTTGTTTCGGGGGCTTGATTCTCCTGCCGTTAGTCCACGTCTAGCATTAGACTCTTATATATCCAAACAAATCTTTGCAAGTCACACGGGTGCTATACTATGTCTGGCAGCACATCGGATGGCTGGTGCTGCTAAAGGATGGAGTTTTAGTCAAGTTTTAGCTTCTGGAAGCATGGATTGCACTATTCGTATTTGAGATCTTGATTCTGGTAATCTCATTACTGTCATGCACCAACATGTTGGTCCTGTGCGCCAAATCATTCTACCCCCTGCTCGAACTGAACGCCCTTGGAGTGATTGCTTTCTTTCCATTGGAGAGGATTCTTGTGTCACTCTTAGTTCACTTGAAACTTTGAGGGTGGAAAGAATGTTTCCTCGACATCCTGACTATCCTGCAAAAGTTGTTTGGGATGGTGCAAGAGGTTATATTGCATGTCTCTGTCGGGACCATTCCAGAATTTCTGATGCCATTGATGTTCTATACATATGGGATGTGAAGACCGGGTGTAGAGAAAGGGTCCTTCATGGGACTGCTTCTCACTCGATGTTTGATCATTTCTGCAAAGAAATTAGTGCAACTTCCATTTCTGGTTCATCACTGAGTGGAAATACATTAGTTTCATCGTTACTTCTTCCAATACATGAAGACAGGACCTTAACTCATTACAAGTTAAATAACTCAGAAAATGGAGCTACTTTGTCAAAAATGACTGGGTCTAGCACTTTGCTAGCAAATAACAATAAAGTAAATTCTGGAAAGGGACCATATGTTTCTCGAACCAGAAAGCAACCCATTAAATGCTTTTGCCCGTATCCTGGAATTGCTACCCTGAGCTTTGATCTTGCAGCATTGATTGATCCTTTTCAGAAACACAAGGTTATGGCCAAGAATGGTGATGGCCGAGAGAATAGCTATATGAAGGAACAGTGGAGTGAGACATTTAGTCCCCACCATATGACTTCGGATGATGGCTTTAACACTGATCAGAGTTAAACGATGGCGTAGAAGGGCATGACTGGATCAAACCACTTGAACAATATCTTGTTCGATTTAGCTTGCTATTTTTGCATTTATGGGATGTGGATTGCGGTCTTGATGACTTATTAGTAGCTGACATGAAGCTGAAAAGGCCTAAAGATTTCATAATATCTTCTGGTTTGCAAGGCGATAAAGGGTCTTTGACACTGTTATTTCCTAGTTGATAGAAAGTCTCGAGGTATTTTGAAGGAATTATGCTTATATTGACATTTGTTGTCTATTTCACTTATTTCAACTGCTCCTGAGTTGTTAATTAACATTTCAGATTTGGAAATCATCATCAGAGTTTTGTGCAATGAGGTCACTGAATATGGTTTCGCTTGCCCAACACATGATTAGCTTGTCCCACTCAAGCTCAGCGGCTAGCAGGTATCACACTTGTTTCTCCAAAATTAGTGCACAGAATCAATATACTTTTGTATTTATTGTACACTATTATTCTCCATTTACTTTGCCATGTTAGGTGATTTAAAACAAAAAGGCCTATTATTTCTTTTTGCTTAATCACTGTCCAAATAGCTGTTGACAGAATCAAGTAACATACTAACATGTCAAATTCAAGCCTTAGAAGATATTTGATATTTTAATTATGATATATTATCTTTGTGAACGGAAAGGTTGATTTCGTTATTGTTGACTGTGACCATACCTAAGGGAATGTTGCTAGATATGTATTCCACCTTTCTATATTCCAGGATACAATTCTGTTCAAGTGAATGGTTATCCTGTCCATACATTTTCTGTGAAATGATAATCATTTTATGCTCATAATACATAATACTTGGAAAATTATGTGAAATGAAGATTAGTTTCACCTCTTTAAGATCTTTATTTTGGTCAACCTTGAAGGTTGTAGAAAACAGAGTAAGTCTCTGTTATTTTATTCTTATTTCATTCAGTAGGACATACTACATCTTTGTATACAAATTATGTGTAAACGAGGAAACTCTAAGTTAGGAAAGATACTAATTCTAGGAGATGTAATCCCTTGAAATAAGGGATTGAAAAACAAAGAATAATTACAAAATCTCTTAAGGGATTGAATAGCTCATTTCTATAATTCATACAACCTTACACTTACATAACCTACACTCCCCCTCAAACTGATTTATATATGTTGTATATACCCAGTTTAAATGATAACTCATCAAAATTCACTCGTGGAAGGGCTTTGGTGAAGAAATCTACCAGTTGTTTCATCGTCGGAATGTACTGCAGTTTTGCAACTCCATTGTTGACCTTCTCGTAAATAAAATGTTTGTCTATCTCAATGTGTTTCGTTCTATCATTCTGCACTGGGTTTTTTACTATACTCATAGATGATTGACTATTACTAAAAATATCAAAATTCTTCTTGTCATCTAAGTCCAGTTCTGTGAGAAGACTTTTAATCCACATTCCTTCACATATTCAGAGAGCCATTGCTCTAAACTCTGACTCAACACTACTTCGAGAGACAACGGCTTGTTTCTTACTTCTCCAAGTCACCAAATTACCCCAAACGTAAGTACAGTAGCCACTAACTGACCTATCATTTAATTCACCACCCCAGCTTGCATCCGTATAAACCTTTATTGTTCTGTCTTAATTTTTTCTAAATATAAGTCCAATTCATGGGGTAAACTTCAAGAACCTTAGAATTTTGTTGACAGCTTTCAAATGTTCTTCTCGATAATCACTCATATGTTGGCTGACAATGCTCATTGAGTATGCAATATCAGGCCTGGTCAGTGAAAGGTAGATTAACTTCCCAACTAACCTTTGGTAGGTTGTCTTGTTTACTGGATTTCCAGTCATTTCCTTGCAAAATTTCAAGCCTGGCTCCAGTGGAGCTTCAATTGGTTTGCAGTCGAGCATCCCAGTTTCTGCAAGAAGATCCAAAATATACTTATGCTGGTTTATGACCAACCCTTCCTCGGACCTTGCAAGTTCTATACCTAGGAAATACCTCATACTCCTTAAATCCTTGGCTTTGTTTGAAACCATTATGTGTAATTTTTTGCATAGTGTGTGATCCGAGGGTTATCTTACCACTCAGTGTAATTTTTCTGAATAGTGTGTGATCCGCTTGGCTTTGTTTGAAACCATTCTGTGTCATAGCCTTAGCAAATCGATCAAACCAAGCCCTAGGAGACTGTTTTAAGCCATATAAGGATTTATTGAGCTTGCACACAGTTTTCTTAGTGACTTTTCTTTCTAATCCGGGGGGGACCTCCATGTATACCTTTTTTTCAAGGTTCCCATTCAAAAAAGCATTCTTATGTCCAGTTAACAGTTAATAGTTACTGATAACAATATTCTGATGGTGTTCAATTTTGCAACCGGTGCAAAAGTCTCCTGGTAGTCGATGCCATATAACTGAGAAAAACCTTTAGCAACCAGTCTTGCATTGTATCTTTCCATACTCCCATTTGAATAATATTTGACTGTGAATATCCACCTACATCTAACAGCTCTCTTCTCTTCTGGCAAATATGGCAAACTCCATGTCTTATTCTTTTGCAACACTTTTATCTCATCTTTCACAGCCTTTTTCCACTCAGGAGATTGAAATGCCTCTGTCACATTTCTTGGGATTTTCACACTGTTAATGTTGACAGTAAAGGCCCTTAAATTAGACTGTAATTTCCCATATGCAACATACTTATTTATGGGATGAACAGTGCATTTTCTTACCCCCCCCTTTCCTAATAGAAATAAGAAAGTCATCAAGTTCAACAGCAGTATCCTTTTGGGAACCATCATTACCTTTTGTTTTAGATGCAATAGGATTCGAACCTGGTTCTTGGCAAATGTTAGGTTGACTGATTTATTCAACAATAACTTTCCTTCTTCTTGAGTAAACACTGAGTTGTTTCGGTTGGGGAGTTATGGTTTCAGGGTCCTTGTTAGGTGTATTTTTTGTATTGATTTCTTCAACATCTTTCCTTCTTCTTGAGTAAACACCAAGTTCATTCGTCATGGATAAGAGGTTGGAAGCAATGGAGAAGTCTCAAGGTGATTTACAAGATCAGTTACAAAATTAGTTGACTACACTACAACAGAACATGAGAAATCAAGCATTGAATTCTCAATAGGAAATATTGAGTAAAATAACCCATTTTTTGGCTACAAAGGATGTTGACAAAGAGAAAACGCATGTTGAGGTACGTCAGTGTGATCAGATTGATACATCAAGATTGGAAACATACCATGGGTCATCTTATATGAATAAAAGGAAGAGACTCACTAATCTCGAGAAAATCATAGATAAATTTGAGCAGTTAGATGAATTAGTTGAAAAAATGAAAGGAGTTGATGTTTCCCACCAGAATTTTGATTCAGTAGAACTTAGCTTGGTTCCTGACTTGGTCATCACACAAGAATTTAGGGTGTCTGGTTTTGAAAAGTATGATGGTACTAGTTATCCTCTGATCCATTTGAGGATGTTCTGTAGGAAGATGGAAAGATATTTAAATGATGACAATTTGTTGATCCATTACTTCTATGACAGTTTTGTTGGACCTACTATAGTATGGTATAATCGATTGAACAAAGAACAAATTAGGTCATGGGTCGATCTAGCTAATGCTTTTCTGGAACAATATTGATATGTCAACGGCTTGGCTTTGAGTCATCAAGATCATCAGAGACTGAAAATGAAAGCTACTGGAAGCTTTAAAGAATACATATTAAGATGGATAGGCACGGCAACAAAAGTTCAACCTCCTATGTTGGAAGAGGAAATGATATACATATAACACTCTCTTAGATCCTTTCTTTTAGTTAATTCTTGC